GAATTACAGGCACGCCCGGCTGATTTTTTGATTTATTGTAGAGATGAGGTCTCGCTGCCCAGGCGGGTCTCAAACCCGCGGGCTCAGGCAATCCACTCGCCTCAGCCTCCCAAAGGCGCGGGATTATAGGCTGAGCCACCGAGCCCGGCTTGCTCCACTGCTAAAACCATTATTAAAAATACTTTTAGGAGGAAAATCTAATTTTTTATTTAGTAAACTTGATAGTAAAACATTTCACTAGTAATTGGGGCTGGAAGATGAAACAGGTTGCAACTTTTTATTTGTAGAAGGCCATGCAGATCACTTTTTATAGTTACTTAAGTTAAATGTATGACTTCAGATAACAACCATACTCCTTTAGTTTTCTAATTTTTAATCATTTAGCACACAATTCAATGAGAACATACTGTGAGTAAGTCCCTTCCTTTGCTCTATGGTATGGAGGACACAAAGAAAATAAGACATGGTGTCATTCATCAGAAATATGCCCTCACTCACAAATTCACATCAAGCATTATAATTCTAGTGCTTAACGGCAGCATATTCTGAATCATGCTAAAAGTCTTAAACAGAAGGAATTTCTTTGAAAATTTGTTGCCAGTTTTATGAACCATTCTTTTTTTTTGACTTAAGAGAGGGATTAAAAAAAAACCCTGGAATTTTTTTATTAAAAATTATGTATTATTTATTAAAAATATGTATTTATAAAAATTATGTATGTATTAGTCTTACATATTTAAACTTAGTCACCTTCAAAGTACTCTCTGTTTGATGCAATACACCTATCAAGATGCTTTTCCACTGCTGAAAACAGTAATCCATTTTGATGTCTTTTAGTGCTTCTGCCATCTTTTGTTTCACCTCTCCCACATCTGCAAAATGTTTCCCTTTGAGGACTTTTTGCATCCGGGGAAACAAAAAAAAGTTGCTCAGGATGAGATCGGGAGAACAGGGAGGGTAATGCACAAAGGTCATGCCCTTTTTGGTCAAAAACTGCTGAACACTCAGCATGCTATAGGCAAGTGTATTGTCATGGTGGAAGAACCAGTCACCTGTTTGCCACAACTCAGGTTGTTTGTCCTACAAATCATGACACAACCTTCTAAAAACTTCCAGATGAAAATTTTGGTTGACCATTTGATCCGGAAGAACAAATTCCAAGTGTACTACAAGGGGCCCACTCTCCAAAAATTAATTCTGTTTTTTGATGGGATCCCCCCTCATATACAGACTGTGTCCTTAAGATAATTAAGACTGTCATTTTAAATTTTTTTTTTAACTATTCTGAGTCAGGATTACATGCTGTTGGTGTAGTACAGTGGCACACTCATAGCTCACTGCAACATCAACCTCCTGGGCTCAGGTAATCCTTTCACCTTAGCCTCCCAAGTAGCTGGGACTATAGGCACACACCACCACACCCAGCTAATTTTTAAAATTTTTTTGTAGAAGTGAGGCCTCACCATGTTGACTAGACTGGTCTCAAACTTCTGGGATGAAGCAATTTTCCTGCCTCAGCCTTCCAAAGTGCTGGGATTACAAACGTGAGCCACTATACCCAGACTCCAGACTCATTTTTTTAAGTCACTACTTATATATAGAAATGCATAGTAACCATACATTGCTCTGGATCACCATCTAGAGATCTGTTTGTTCATTTCACTATGCTTAATATTTAAGTGCAATAAACTTTTATCAGTTAAACATTTCATGTTTAAAATTCTTAATTCAGACTTTTCTCTAATTTAAAAAAACTTTTTCCATGATTATTAAACAGTAAGGTTTTTTTCTTTTAACCATTTCAAAACAGATGACATTATCATAAACCATCTATAAAATGAGTTCAAGGTCGGGCACGGTGGCTCAAGCCTGTAATCCCAACACTTTGGTAGGCTAAGGTGAGGGGATTGCCTGAACCCACAAGTTTGAGAACAGCCTGGACAACATGGCAAGACCTTATCTCTACAATAAATCAAAAAATTAGCCAGGCATGGTAGAGAGCACCTGTAGTTCTGGCTACTAAGAAGGCTGAGGCAGAAGGATTATTGCCTGAGCCCAGCAGGTTGACACTGGGGTGGCCATGAAGTATGCCACTGCACTCTAGCCTAGGTAACAGAGTGAGACTCCTGCTCAAAAAAAAAAAAAAAAGATTTCAAAAATAAAAAAGTAGTTTTAATCTATTTAATTCTATTTTTGGAATTTTGTATGCTTGGTTTATGTATTTCTTTCTCTCTTTTTTTAAATTTTAGCTCGTGGTCTGGGTTGATCCTCTGGATGGAACCAAGGAATACACTGAAGGTTAGTGTCTCTTATATTCACATTTGACAGCAGTAGGCCAATAACATGATGTTCACTTGTGAACATTTGATACTTAGTATGTTGCATGGAAAGCTGGTATCATGTTTTGTGTTTTTCCCTAAAGCTAGAGCTTTGTTGTCAAGACGGAGGGAAAACATTTATCTTTTTCTCATACCACCCTAACATACTCTACTAGCCCCACAATTTGAATGTCCCCCAGATGAGAATAACTAACATATTAAACCAGTGTTACCAAAGGAACTCTAGTGAACTTCCAGCTTTATTGGGGTAGAAAAATGATGACCAACGCTGCTGAACTGCTGTAGTTCTGCCACCACCACCATCCCATGCCCGTCTACTCACTCTCCCTCATCTGTAAACTGTCTTCTCGCTTCACAGCCTTGATTTTTTATTTTATTTTATTTAAGTTGTGGGGTACAATTCAGGATTAGTTATACATGTGAACATCGTACAGGCAAAGTTTGGGCCTCCCTTTGGTCCCTGTTTTGCCTGGTTTGAGATGAGATACACTTGTTAAAATTGTGTCCCTCCCACCCCACCCTGGCAGTATCCCATTAGTCCCTTTCTTATAGTATTATGGTAAATGCTCAGGGTCCACTTTTGAGTGAGAACATGTGGTGCTCTGTTCTTTCTTTCTGTGATAGATCACTGATTATTATAGATCTAAATCTGTCCAAGTTGCTGCAAAATCCGTATGTTTGTCCTTCTTTATGACTACATAATATTCCATTGTGTATGTGTACCACATTTTTTTTATCCAGTCGAGTTTCAATGGGTAGCACGGTTGGTTCCATGTTGTTGCTATTGTGAATAGTGTTGCAATAAACATGTGTGTGCAAGTATCTTTTTTGTAGAATGTTTTGAGTTCCTCTGGGTATATTCCCAGTAAGGGGATTGCTGAGTGATATGGAAGGTAAAGTTCTAGTTCTTTTAGAAATCACCACACTGTTTTCTGTAGAGGTTGAGCTAGTTTGCATTCCCACCAGCAGTATAGAAGCATTCCCTTTTCTTCGCATCCTTGCCAGCATCTGGTGGTGTTTGTTTTATTAATGATGGCCATTCTTACTGGGGTTAGGTGGTTATGTGGTTTTGATTTGCATTTCTCTGATGATTAGTGAGGCTGAGCACTTTTTTATGTGTCTATTGGCTGCCCGTATGTCTTCTTTTGAGAAGTATCTATTCATGTCTTTTGTCCACTTTTTAATAGGGCTGTTTGTTTTTTTTCCTTTCGGCACATTTGAGTTCCCTGTAGAACCTGGATGTTAGGCCTTTGTCAGATAAATAGTTGGCAAATATTTTTTTCCCATTCTGTGGGCTGTCTCCCCTCTCTCTTGATAGTTTCTTTTGCTTTGCAGAAGCTTTTCAGCTTAATGAGGTCCCACTTGTCTGTCTTATCTCTTATGGCATGGACACCTGAGGTTTTGATTAGGAATTGGTTGCCTACTTCGATTTCTGTAAGGGTGTTTCCTGCATTTTCTAAGGTTCTTATAGTTTGAAGTTTTACATTTAGGTCTTTGATCCATTTAGAGTTGATTTTTGTGTATGGTGATAGATAGGGGTCCTGTTTCAATCTTCTACATGTGGTCAGCCAGTTTTCCTAACACCATTTACTAAATAGGTTCATCTTTCCCAAGTGGTTGGTGGTGGTGGCTTTGTCGAAGGTGAGTTGTTGAGGAATTGAAGTTTTGCTTCCGGAATCTCTATCCTATTCCATTTGTCCATATACCTGTTATAGTGCCAATACCAGGCCGTTTGATAATTTTAGCCTTATAGTAAATTTTAAAGTCTGGAAATGTGGTACCTCCTGCTCTGTTTCTTTTGATAAAGATTGTTTTGGCTATTCGTGGTCATTTATGTTTCCATAGGAATTTCTGTATTATCTTTTTCAGGTCTGAGAAGAATGATGTTGGTGATTTAATGGGTATTGTGTTGAATCTGTAGATTGCCTTTGTTAGGATGGACTTCTTAATAATGTTTATTCTTCCTATTTATGAGCATGGAATAGTTTTCCATTTGTGTCTTGGATTTCTTTGAGCAGTGCTTTGTAGTTTTCATTGTAAAGATCTTTCTCACTTCTCTGGTTAGGAAGATGCCTAGGTTTTTTTTTTTGGTTTTTTTTGTGACTATTGTGAATGGGATTGTGTTTTTATTTGGTTCTCTGCCTGCTTGTTGTTGGTGCATAAGTATGTGACTGTCTTTTACACATTTATTTTGTACCCCAAGATTTTGTCAAAGTCCTTTATCAGCAAGAAGGTTTTTAACAGATTCTCTTGGATTTTTGAGGTATAGGATCATATCGTCAGCAAAGAGGGATAACGTAACATCTTCTTTTCCTGTTTAGATACCCCTGATTTCCTTCTGTTATCTCTAGCTAGGACTTCCAACACAATGTTGAAAAGGAGGAGTGAGAGTGGGCAGCCTTGTCTTCAGGTTTTCAGGGGAAATGCTTCTAGTTTCTGTTTATTTAGCAATATGCTGACTGTGGGTTTATCATAGCTGGCGCTTACTATTTTGAGGTATGTTTCTTCTGTGTGTAGGTATTTGAGAGTTTTTATCAAGGAGGAATATACAGCCTCATTTTTTAAAGATGGGTTTTGAAACACACTGCAATGTTTCTTTTTTCTGTAATTAACTAAGATGAGAAAAATTAGAAAGCATCAAATTAAAATAGAATGGGCAACATAAAAGTGAGAACCAGGCTTAGAACCAGAGTTTTAGGTTTTCGAAGCTTAGAGTTTTAGTTTTAAAATAAAACCTAGCCGGGTGTGGAGGTGAGGAGATTGTCTGAGCCCAGGAGTTCAGGACCAGACTAGGTGACTTGGTAAGACTTCATCTCTACAGTAATAAAAAAATTAACTGGGCATGGTGGTACATACCTGTAATTCCAGCTACTTGAAAGGCTAAGGTGGAAGGATCACCTGAGCCCAGCAGGTCAAGGCTGCAGTAGCCATGAGCATGCCACTGTACTCCAGCCTAGGTGACAGAATGAGACCCCGACTCAAAAAAAAAAGAAAGAAATTTAAATTAAATTAAATTAAAAAGATCTACATAAGTTTTCTTACATTGGTTTTCAGTTTCATGCCTTACAAAAAGAAGATTTATCATATTACTAGAAAAAACTCTTTCACTGCCCTTGGATAATATATATCTATAATGAGTGATTTATATACTGTGTGCATGTATATGTATGTGTGTGTACTGAAAACATCTCTATAATTGATCAAAGGGTAGGAAACCTCTAGACAGCTTTAATGTGTATAAGAGCATCTAGAAAGCTAATTTACGTCTTGACTCCCCTCCCCCCAGACATTTTGAATCATTAATTCTAGGAAGAAGCCTGAGATGATCTGTATTGTAAAAATAATACTAATTAATCCTATGCTGCTTGATAGACCATAAACCTCACTCTGAGAAACCCCACTTTAAAGGTTTGAATTGCAAGTCTAGAGACTAATTCAGGAATACAGAGTGAGTCAGCTATAAGAATGAGTTGGATGGTGGCAGAAGGGACATGGAGGAATCTAATGATAATGGCTACAGAGTTATGGCTGATTTATTTCTTTGGTTTACAAATTGTACTGAGACCATAATTATCAATTCAGTTAAGTGGCCACAGACCCAGCTTTTATTTCTGCCTAGCTCTCTTATATTTTTGTGCATTTTGCCATAAGTAGGATCGATCATGGAGGAATCATTTGCAAATATATGCCTTTACTGGAAAAATAACTTGAAGCAGTTGATGTATTAATGAGTCATAACATGAGAAAGTTATATAATTGATATTTATTTCTTCTTTATAGGTCTTCTTGACAATGTAACCGTTCTTATTGGAATTGCTTATGAAGGAAAAGCCATAGCAGGAATTATTAACCAGCCATATTACAATTATCAGGTATTATTATAAGTGATAAAAATATTTTATTAGATAAATAATTATAGTGTTCTATGATTCCTAATGTTATCTAAGCCAGTGATTTCTTGCTTGGTTGTACATGCAGTCATCTGGAGAGTGTTTCAAATATAGATTCCCAGGCTATATCTAGACCAGAACCTCTGGGGGCATTATTATCGGAATATATACATGTATGTGTGTGTATACAGACATACTATATATTTTTAAGTTCATTCCTTATGACTCCAATGTAAAAGTTTAGAAATTATTGATATGGTTATTGATTAGTTTGGACATCAAGACACCTGATTTATAGGTGCTTCTTGAAGCACATTGAATAAACGAGCCATTTCAACTGAGAAAAGATGCTAGTCATGTTGTTTTCCAGGCAGTTCTGCATAGTGCCTAAATTACAGTCAGTCTTGATAACAGAACTAAATCTGCTCTTGCACTCTTTTCTCTTGTCTCTTTTAATCTACTTTGACTTTCTATTGTACTTCAAAGAAATTATCTCCCTTAGAAGCAAGAGACTAGTATAATTTCAAAGCCAAAATATCCCATAAAGTCACATTAAATTTTAAAGGAAATTGTGAAGATAAAAATAGTTAAGGTATCTATATTAATGTGACTTTGATAAAACTTTGGGGAAACAGAGTAACCAGAGTGGAGAATATTACTTCTGATTTTACAATCTGAGTTAAAAGCAGGATTAATCTTTACTTCTAATATAAGTTTGTTTTTTCCTGCTGTTTGTATTATAAATTTTATTTACAATAGTGTTTCTTAGGATTTACCAAAATAATTATATGTTTTGGGAAAGCCTCCCATATTGAATTGCTTAAGTGTCTATTAATTCTTATATTATGACTTTAATGCCCATAGAGTATTATATGTAGACACAAGTTTGTATTTTTATGTAAACTTTAATGTAAGTTAATACTATTACTTAAAAGAGGTGCATTTAATTCATAGAAAATATTGTAATACATGATACCTTTCATCAAAAAATCTAAGTGCTTAGAAGTTGTTAATAAGTTTCATCATTTCTTTCTAAGATTAGAAAAACTGTATTCATTTTCCACAGAACAATGAAAAGCAGAAGTTAAGGGAATATAAGAATGAAGCAAAGGTGAGAAAAATAGCTAGGGTTTTGACTTCACTCATAGGTAGAAAAGAAGTAGGCACCCCAGGTGGTCACTGTCCATCCCATGTATCAGTTCATTTTCTCCTGTTCTACTTCTCCTCTTCATTACCTCTCCCTGTATCACATTCCCTTCTGTGCCTCTGTTTATCCTTTCTTCTCCTTCTCTCGTGCTTTTATGCCTTTCGTTGCAATGAATAAAGTTGCTCCATTGTGTTGGTGGTATTCAGGCTAAAGATTCAATTTTTAAATAATCATCATCATCATAATAGGTAAAATATATTCAGAGTTTACTGTATGCTGCCAGCCTGAAGGGATGCACATGTATTATTTCATTTAATATTTACTGTAACCCTTTAAGGAAATCATTATCCCTCTTTTAAATTGGAAACTGAGACAATTCGCTTGCCCATGGTCACTCAGTCAGTAAATGGCAGAACTGGGATTCAAACTCAGATCTATACTTTATTACTATATTGCACTCTTTTTGAGTGGCATCTCTATCACCACAGCTCACCACAGCCTCAACCTCCTGGGTTCAGACGATCTTTGTGCTTCAGCCTCCCACATAGCGGGGACTATAGGCATGCACCACCATGCCTGGCTAATTTTTTGATTTTTTTTGTAGAGTCGAGATGTTACTGTGTTTCCTTGGCTGTTCTCAAATTCCTGGGCTCACGTGATCCTCTTGCCTCTGTCTCCCAAAGTACTGGCATTATAGGCGTGAGCCACTGCATCTGGCTATATTGGTCTCTTGAGCCAGATGAAAGACTTAAAAATTCAAACTTTATTGTTGCTTCTAACAGATACTGAAGCTGGTAGGTACTGAAAGAAAACAGCACGGCATGGTACAAAGAAACTCAGTCTATCTTTATATCGGAGCTAGTTTCGTAACCATTATGGAGTTTCATTAACTCATCAGTAAAATGAAACTTTACCCTTTAGCCTTTTTTACCCTCAGAAAATTGGCATGGAGCTTTTGATAGTGACAGACAATGAGAGAAGCTGAGAATCAGGAGCATGGAGAAAGGCCATAGGATTACATTCACCTCACCAAGACACCAAGACACCAGATTCCTTGGTCCCATCTTTGCCAATACATTGATTTAAGAGGGGATATGACTTTTTAGGATCCAAAATATTTGTGTCCACTATTCTCTTTCCTTTTTTTTTTTTTCCAGAATAACTGGAGAGCTGAATTAATAAGTTTCTTAGGAAGCCGGAATTAGTCTCAGCAATCAAGCTAAAGCCTAATGAGTACCTAGAACCACCATGGAGGCCATGTGTACTTTTCAGATTTCCAGTCTCTCCTATAGTGTAGACTCAAGCAGGAGCAGAGGAAGCACACTAACATATATTGAGCACCCAGTTCTTGTTCTTTGGTTGCTCTGTACCACATTTGCAGTCAGACTCTTCTGGGATTGCTTCACCTAAAGAGAGCTACTCAAGGCCACACCTCTTCCCACTGCAGTCCACTTCCAGTGACTGATAATTGCAAGAGTATAAAGGCCTGGTATTTTATTCCAATTTGGAGCAGCCCTGAAGGGCCATTCTAGCCCCAGAGCTCCCCATAGGGTCAGCTGATGTTGTTAGCAGCATAGCTCATTTCTTCCCTCTGCCGACACCTGCTTCCTTTCACAGGTGCTGATCCCAAGTGTACTCCCTAACAAACTTCCAACCTGCCTCTGAGTCTGCTTCCCACAAACCCAACCTGCAGCATAAGCAAATTTTACTATAACAGCACCCAGTATACGCTCTAGGATAAATAAGATGACGTGTTTGAAAACATTTTGACAAATAAACACAGGCAGTGTAATTCAGTGATGAAGAGTATTGTCTTTGAACACAGATGAGCTCAGTTTTCATTGTGAATTTCCTAGAGTCCTGGTTCAGGTTACTTAATGATTCCAAATCTCATTTTTCTCATCTTTAAAATAAAGATGATGATACCTATTTCATGGAATTGCTTTGAGAATTGCATGAAATAATACATGTAAGGCACTTAAAATGATGCTTGATACATGCCTGGTGTTCAGTGAAATTTGTATCTACATGTCTATAATTTATGTCTATTAATATAACTGTATTTTGATGACTTTGCATTAATCATTTTATTTATCAGCTTTACTTTCCATGAAATACAAGGTTTTTCTTTTTTTTGTATAAAGTGTATAGTTATAACAATGTGGTTGAAAATTCTTTAGCTCTGCAAAGGAAAATACAGATTCTAAGACTGCATTATCATTGTCACTTTATCACTTCAGTTGTCAGTAAAATCTTAACCCTGATCCCATTGTTGAAGCCTACTCTTCAATATTGTATGTATTGTCCTATTCAATTGCCCCATCTCTATAGCAGCAAAATACATTCTCACCATTACCTAGTCCCATAGTAATATGATCCTGAATGTTTTTTGGATAATGGAAAGTAGTAATGAATACATGGTGTTTCATTTCCTGGGATTTCGGTACCTTCTGAAAATGGCTGTTTTCAAATACAACAAAGAGATCATCAAACGACTCAGAGAGAAGCAGTAATCAGTATATGCAGTATATGATATTTCTTTTTTTGAAGACTCCAGGGAATAACCAAAAGTTTCATTACCTTTGAAACTATTAACCAAAACAATAATGGGAATAATAAGCAGATTCTCTCAGGAAAAGTTCTTTGTCAGTAAGAATATTCTTGTACTTTATAACATTATTAGTTTTAATTTTTGTTAATCTTGATGCTAATATGACTAAGTATTTCATTTATGACTAACGTTTTTCTCCAAATGATTATAAGCTGCTTTGTTGTTGTTTCACTCATTCACATAGGCAGGACCAGATGCTGTGTTGGGGAGGACAATCTGGGGAGTTTTAGGTTTAGGTGCCTTTGGGTTTCAACTGAAAGAAGTTCCTGCTGGGAAGCACATTGTCACAACTACCCGATCCCATAGCAACAAGTTGGTTACTGACTGTGTTACTGCTATGAACCCTGATGATGTGCTACGAGTGGGAGGAGCAGGAAATAAGGTAAGGAAAAGGTCTGTCATCTGCTCTGAAATGCAAGTGAATCATTGAAGGAAATACTGAGCTTTTTAAAAACATAAAATAAGAATTTAAAAGAAGGGATTAAAGATTATAACTTGCCACTAAACGCACATTTCGGCAACATTTAAATTTTAGAAAGAAATTTAAGGGTCAAGTCTTTCTTTTCTAAGAGCTTTCAGGATTAAAGAAAGTCATCAGGATAAGATCCCATGCCTCTTGCCAAGGGCCTTATTTTCCCAAGGACCCTCTTAGATTATTTCCTAGACTGTTCTTGTACAGCCTCTAAGGACAGGCCTGCCTGTCCCCTTCCTGTCTGCTTCCCTCATTCTTTCATCTAGGCTTCCAGCCTCCTGAGACAATTGTGAAATGGGACACAATTTGATCTGCATTTCTAGCCATTATCTATCTCTTCTCATCTGATTGTCCCCTGGATATCATCATGATGATGACATCTCCCAGGTATCTCAAATTCATTGTGTTCAATTTGAGTTCATCCTCTTTCGACCTACTGCCAGATGTGTTCCTCTCCCTATTTGCTGTCTGGTTATTGGCACCACCATTTTCCTAACTGCTCCAATCAGACACCTGAAAGTCATACTACACTCTTTCCTTCCTCACATTCTGTCTCTCTGGTCCTACTTATATATCTTATTGAATACTTCCCTAATGTCTCCTCTTTTCCATCTCAACTGCTGGTACTTTAGCTGAAACCTATCGTCATCCTTACCCAACTGTTAATAATAGTTTCCAAAGTGGTCTTCCCATTCAATCCAGCCTTTATTAATGCCAGAGCAATTAAAAACGCAAACAATTCTTCCCTGTCCCAAATCCTCAGATCACTCCTCTTCACAATTCAAGCCAGTTAGCATGAAATTTAAAGCCTTACATATCCTATCTCCTGCAGGCCCCCAAGCCTCATCTCCTGCCATCCCGTAACTCATACTTCATCCTTAGTGATACTGAACTGAATGTTACTTCCTGATATATGTGCATTTCACACATATGTGCCTAGCATGGGAGAGGTAAATAATAAATATTTATTAAAGTGAATGGAAGCCGGGCTCGGTGACTCAGCCTGTAATCCCGCGCCTTTGGGAGGCTGAGGTGAGTGGATTGCCTGAGCCCACGGGTTCGAGACCCGCCTGGGCAGGCGAGACCTCATCTCTACAATAAATCAAAAAATCAGCCAGGCGTGGTAGCGCATGCCTGTAATTCCGGCTACTTGGAAGGCTGAGGCGGAAGGATCGCCGGAGCCCAGCAGGTCGAGGCTGCGGTGGCCGGGAGCGGCCACTGCACTCCTGTCTGGGCGACAGAGTGAGACTCCAACTCAAAAAAAAATTAAAAAAAAATAAAGTGAATGGAATTTATTTCTCCTCAACTATTTTTAGATTTTCTAAAGGCATTTACTGATAATGATGAAAAATGAGAGTTTAAGAAACAAATAGAAGTATTTTGAAAAAAACCTAAAACATTGCAAAGTGAAAATGTATTCCTAATATTCACTGATATAGAAATAGTAACAGGTGTGCTTTCTCTTTGCTTCTTAGTTTTGTAATCACAAAATCCCATTATCTCTATTATTCAAGGAGTGTCATTCTCCTAAGAAACAAAGACCTCATCCTGCACATCTTTACCTTTCTCTTCTGAAAAAAACCTTGTTGGGCAGTTCCTTTCTTACATCAGGGATCCTTTAGAGAATATAATGAAGACTATAACCCCTCTCTCCTCAAACAAAAAAATACTGGCATACTTCACATATAAGACTTGACATAAATGAAAGAAAAACCTTTTACTCAGAAGCCTACAGCAAGGGTTAAATGTTTGAATTTCATAAATAATAGTACTGAAAGGAATAATTGATTGCTTTCGTGTTGACTGAGACTTTGCTCATTCTCTCAGTCTAGTCTCTTCATCTGAATATTTGAAGTCTGAGTTTCACAGTAATAATTATTTTACAATAAAACCAAGAAAAGTCAATTGACTGATGAAAGCTTGATAGCAAGCTACTATTCAGTCATTCAGTCACTATCAGTGATCTCGGCTGTATATGAGTGTTACAGGAATTGTTAGGATGACTACTTAAAAGTATGCATTTTGCCAGGCGCAGTGGCTCACACCTGTAATCCCAGCACCTTGGGAAGTTCAAAGTTCAAAGCTGGTCAGGAGTTCAAGACCAGCTTGGGCAACGTAGCAATACCCTACCTCCCCGCCCCATGTGTCCATTCTTTTTTTTTTTAAATTCCAAGTCTCGCTCTGTCAACCAAGCTGGAGTGCAGGAATGCAGTGGCACAATCATGGCTCACCACAGCTTCAACCTCCTGGACTCAGGTGATCCATCCGCCTCAGTCTCCTGAGTAACTGCCACCATCCCTGGCTAATTTTTTTATTTTTTATAGAGATAAGATCTTGTTCTGTTGCCCAGGCTGGTCTTGAACTCCTGGGCTCAAGCAATCCTCTTTACTCAACCTTCCAAAGTGCTAGATTTACAGGCATGAGCCACCGTGCCTGGCCCATCTGTAGTCTAAAAAAATATATAAAAAATTTTTAATTTTAAGTACATATTTTGGTAGTGGAAATGGCAGTAGATATGATCCCAAGACTTAAAGAAGTACTTGTTAGACTAGTCAGCACATGTTAGGAATTATTATAGTTTATTCACTGTTGTACTGTTTAATATTTCTCTATTCTTTATTTAATAATGGTTAACTTTTAGATGTTTAAAAACTGAAATTTTGTATAATAAATACATATTGCTTTTATTCTAAGAAAGAAAAGTAACGTGACTAAAAAGAAAACTTTATTTTATCTAACATAGAATGCAGATACTGTTCAGATACCCTCTTTGTAGCTTGACTTTAGATAACTATGTTATTATTGTATCCATTCTATGTATTTCTTTATTATATTTTTATCATTTGAATTTGCCAAAGGCTTTAACCTAAGTGAAGTTCAACAGAGGAATTGATGAAATATCCTTGATAGAAGAAACAAGCAATTTTTCTTATTTGTGCCACAGTCATTTCATGGTCAAGGGATAATTACTATTTTTACTCTTACAGATTATTCAGCTGATTGAAGGCAAAGCCTCTGCTTATATATTTGCAAGTCCTGGATGTAAGAAGTGGGATACTTGTGCTCCAGAAGTTATTTTACATGCTATGGGAGGTTAGTCCAGTTTATTTTGGGAAAGTATAATTTTGGACACTTTTTATATCTTGCTAAGGTATATATTTCAGTAATATTACTATACTTAGACTCTTAGTCTATAAAGCTAGAAGGAGCCTTAGAGACCACCTAGTTCAAACCCCTCATTTCATAGATGAGAAAATAGATTTTCAGCAAATTTGTCTTTCTTTAGTTATAATCTTTTTTTAAACTTCAGTCTACATATAGTTTAATTTAGCCCTTATTCATGGCTTTGTTTTTAGGGATTTTCTTCCTTGAAGTGTAAAATGTTTATCACATTGGCATCACATCACTTAATCTCTTTTAAGCCAATATTGGTGAACAAGCCAGGCTCGGTGGTTCAGTCTGTAATCCCGTGCTTTGGGAGACTGAGGTGAGTGAATTGCCTGAGCCCGTGGGTTTGAGACCCGCCTGGGCAACTTGGCGAGACCTCATTTCTACAATAAATAAAAAAATTAGCCGAGTGTGATAGCGCACGCCTGTAGTTCCAGCTACTTGGAAGGCTGAGGTGGAAGGATCGCTGGAGCCCAGCAGGTTGAGGCCGCTCCTGGCCACTGCACTCCAGTCTGGGCTACAGAGTGAGACTCCAACTCAAAAAAAAAATTGGATTGCAAATACATTGCAGATATATACATAGGAAGGTTTTTTTATTTTCAAATAGACATCAGTTTATATGTACTTTTAGTAAGCAATGCCTTTTATTAAAATCACTGTTAGATTTTAAAAAATGGCAATAAACAAAAAACTTAATTTTTTTTCCATTCTCCTAATATTTTGTCAACATCTTTGCATATTATATGATGAGGAGGTTAAATTGTACTTTATTATAGTCCATTCTTATTAGGATATGAGATGAAACTGTAATATATAATACAATTATATTTTATGAATATCTTTCACTTAAACTCTTACTAAATAAAGTATAAATATTAAATACCAAGGGTGCCAAAAAAAGTATACACATTTTTCTTTTTCTTTTTTTTTTTTTGAGTTGGAGTCTCACTCTGGAGCCGAGACTGGAGGG